TGTTGTCCATAGCTTGTCATGATCCACACAATCAAAAACCTTTGCATAATCAATAAAACATAGTAAACATCTTTTTGGTATGCTCTGCTTTCAGCCTTCTGTCATCATCAATGATATTCTTCATTCCATGTCCTCTTTGACTCTGACTTGAACATTTGGCAGTTCATTGTCAATGTATCATTGCAGTCATTTTTGAATTACCTTTAGTAAAATTTTACTTGCATGCAATATCAATGATACTATCTGATGATTTACGCATTCCATTGAGTCACCTCTCTTTGGAATGGGCACAAATAAGAATTTCTTTCAATCAGTTGTCCAGGTAGCTGTCTTCCAAATTTCTTGGCATAGATGAGTGAGTGTTTCCAGTGCTTCAGCAGTTTGTTTAAAGATTTCAATTTTTATTCCATCAATTATCAGAACTTTGTTGTTTGGCAATGCCTTGAGTGCACCTTGGACTTCTTCCTTCAATACCAATGACTCTTGATCATATGCTACCTCTTGAAATGATTGAACATCGACCATTTCTTTGTGGTACAGTTACTATGTATGCCTTTCATCTTCTTTTGATGCTTTCTGCATTATTAATATTTTGCACATAGAATCCTTCAATATTGCAAGTGGAGGCTTAAATTTTTATTTTTATTTTTTCAGTTCCCTCTGCTTCAGAAATGCTGAACATGTTCTTCCCTTTTGGTTTTCGAAATCCAGATCTTTGCACATTTCATTATTATATTTGCCTTTGTCATCTCGCACTGACCTTTGAAAATTTCTATTCAGCTGTTTTACCTATTCATTTCTTGCGTATATTTTAGCATATCTATGTTGGAGAGTTAGTTTTAGAGTATGTTCTGACATCCCTTTTGGTTTTTTTTTTGTTTTTTTTTTTCTTCTTTGTCTCCGTTTTCTTCCTATATGACGTTGTTGATTCATTCTACAACTCTTGTGGTTTGGGGCCATTAGTGTCTATATTCACTTGGAATATGTTCAAGATTATTTTGGCTTTTGCGGACTTGTTTTAATTTTCTTCAGCTTCAGCCTCAACTTGCATATGAGTAATTGATGGTGTGTTCTACAGTCTGTCCCTGGCCTTATTTTGCTGATGATATGGAGCTTTTCCACTGTCTCTTTCCATAGATGCAGTCAATTTGATTTCTGTGTATCCAGTCTGGTGAGGTCCATGTGTATAGTCATCTTTCATTCGGTTTAAAAAAGAGGTCGTTAATTGTGCTAGAAAAGAAAAAGAATCTGTGAGTACTTGAAATTGGCTAGTCGGACTGAAATCCTGAATTTTAAGTTTTATTTAATGTTTATTGCTTTAGATCTAAATATAAGTAGCCATATTACCTACTAGTTATACTGCATTTGATTATTATAGCTCTAAAGTATAAAACCCATGAAGGTAGGTTTTTTTTTTTCTTTTCCCTATTGTGTTCATTGCTTAATTAATATTGCCTAACAGGTAGATAGAGCTCTGGTAGCATAGTGGTCATGAATTGGGTTGCAACCTCAAGGTCAGCAAATCAAAACTACTAGCTGTTCTGCAGGAGAAAGATGAGGCTTTCTGCTCCTGTGAAGATTGGCAGCTTCAGAAACCCTGTGCAGGGTCACTATGAGTCGGAACCAACTCCGTGGTACTTGACAACAACAACAACAATAGATAAAGAAACCAGCTGGTTCAGTGGTTAAGTAATTAGCTTCTAAGTGAAAGGTTGGTAGTTCAAATCTACCAGCTGCTTTGCAGGAAAAAGATGTAGCAGTCTGCTTCCATAAAGATTTATAGCCTTGAAAACCCTGTGGGGCACTGTTACTATGTCCTGTAGTGTCCCTGACGTTGAAATTGACTTGACAGCATGGCTTTGGGGTTTAGATATTTAGTAGATATTCATTGGATAAATGAATGAATAAAATGACTATGAAATAGATAAATGCTTGGGTCATACTAAAATAAAAATCATAAATAAATATTATTTCAGGTAGAGTCAGTTTGTTTCTTGTTGGTTTGCAGGTTCTGGGAAATGGCTTTAACATTCACTGGTCTTAAGCTGCAGGGATATCTAGGCCGATTTGGCAAAACGTCTTCTACTGATATTGAAGGCTACATGGAGCTCCCAGATGGGAAAGTGAGTACAGTTGCTATTCTACAATTTTACAATCTAAAACGATGTTGATGTATGTGTGTGTGTGTGTGTGTGTGTGTGTATGTATGTGTGTGTGTGTATGTATGTGTGTGTGTATATATATATTATATATGGAGCTCTGGTAGCGTAGTGGTTACAAATCGGGCTGTGAACCTTAAGGTCAGCGGTTCGAAACTACCAGCCGCTCTGCGGGAGAAAGATGAGGCTTTCTACTCCCTTAAAGATTTACACCCTCGGAAACCCTGTACAGGGTCGCTATGGGTCGAAACCGATTCGACGGCACTTAACAACAACAAATACATATTTTTCATGATTATATTTATTATTTTACTGCTACATTAGAAATGAAAATAAACTGTGAAAATTGGAAAAAGCATGCAACTTCATGAAGGTTATGGAGAAAGTGGCTTTTCCTATAGGGAGGTCAAGGAGTACACTCACAAAGATCTTCAATGAATGTGGAATTAAACACACCAATGGGAAGTTTTGAAACAAAAGTAACAGAGCATTGATTACCTCTGCCCTCTTAGCCAGAGAATATGAATGAGAAGACATTAGAAGATGCCTAAAATCTCTACAAACACATAGGTTTTCCAAAATCAAGCCTATAAAATCAAGATACACAAGCAATATTGAAATTTGCTCTTGGGAGGAGATTGCCATTTTATTATGTTTGAACAAATTCTTTCTCATACTGGATAGTTTCCTTCAAGGGGAGAGTATTTTTTTCTTCAGTATTAGTTTTCTTCAGTTTTGACTTGTCAAACTTTTCCACTTCAGATAAATCTGGCTTATCACTCATTTTGCCTGAAGGCTTGAAGATCCATTAAAGGCCAACCCTTGGACTGACTCTGGGCTGCGTTAGCATTCCCACGCAGAACCCTGCAATTATCAAGATATATTTTTAAAAAGTCAATAGAGTTTATGTAGATGTAGGGTAGAAAGAAACCATTTTATATGGGCAACTTACAAAAGATTGTTCATGTTAGAAATAAATATTACATCCTGACAGAGCACATTGGAATAAGATATTTACACTGGGGAGAGTGGAAAATTATGTTGTGTGATATAGTGAGGCTTGTTGCATGAGGAGTTGAATGATCAATCATAGCCATTGAAAGTTTGAAGATTAGAGTTGCAAATGAAAACAGTAATAGATAAATGTGGCCACAAAATACCAGGTAGATTAGAGAAAGGGAAGCCTGTGGTCAGGAAGATGAGCTAGGAAGGAAGCTGTTAGTGTCATCTAAGAAGAGAGGATGAGAGACTAGATTTCTCTCAGGACAAATAAAAAAGGGAAACTAATCATGAGTGACATTTCAGAAAGGCTTTGGTGGCTTTAGTCATTGGACAGATGACACAAATCTCAGTATAGACCACAAATGTGCTGAGATTTAATAAAACATACTTTCTTTTAGGCAGAGCCAGGAGTTAGAAGAGACTTGAGTTTATGAGTAAAGTCATTGTCTATTCTAGGGAAATGGGAATGCAGAAACTTAGATCAGACAAGCAGGAAAGAGAATTGAGTTTCTCAAAAATGCAGTCCATGAAACACTAGTCTGCACAGAAACTCTGTGAAAAAAGGCTTTCCTGGTCAAATTTGTTTAAATCTAGAAATTCCTTTTGGTAGTCTTCAATGAATACTTGTGAATTAGTTCCCAGGGGTCCTAGAGAAAAGAAACTTGTTTTACTTTGCTTATCTTAGCATCTGCCTTCTGAGGCTGTATGAGTCAATGGGTCAGGCTCGGGTTTTGAGCCATAGTATCTAGGTTGAAATCCTGACTCCTCTGGGTGACTTTGGGCAAGTAATTTAACTGTCTGTGTTTCAATGTTCTCATCTATAAAATGATAATAATAGTTGGGGTTGTCTTTGATCCATATGGTCGCTTTGTGTGAATGAGAAAAAGGTGTCCTTCTGGGGAAATAAAGTACCCAACCTATATATCACACATATGTGATACACAATTACATATGAATGTCTGATAACTGTACCTAGGTCATATGGTGTTCAGGATTAAATAAATTAAAATATGTAAAGTACTCAAGCAGTGCTTGATTCTCAGTACATGTTATTTACTATGTAACACCTGTTAACCTCTTAAGAAGGAGTGTCCAATACTTTGAGAAATGCTGCATTAAATGGGTTAACTTGTGGTAGTAGTTTGTCTTTGCAACTACATATTGTTATGCTATAATTTGGAGTCCTGGTGTGATGCTGTGGGTTAATGCACTGGACTGCAAAGTTGGTTTGGACTGCAAGGTTGGCAGTTCAAGTTCACCAGCCACTCCTTGGAAACCGTGTACAGGGTCACTATGAGTCAGAACCGACTCGATGGTATTTAGCAGCAGCAACAATGCTATAATTTGCTCAGTTTATCAATGGACTTACAATTTACCAAAACATCTTATGAAACTTGTTATTAATACACTTAAAAAATAGTATCTAAACTATCAAGAACTCTATGTATGTAACTTATGTTCTGGTCATTTCTGTGAATGAAGAGGTATATACAAATCTATTATATAGCTGAAAAATTATTAGCAATGTATAGCTTAATCACAATTATGTAAACATATGTTTAATGCTACAAGGTAATGTTTCAAAATGTGACTTTTAGTAGTTTCTCAGGTAGTGAGTTTACATGTCTATAGGTCCTTATTTTTCCATGTTCAATTCGTTTACTTTAAAAATCAAGAAAAATAAGTTATAAAAATGTTTCTTACCTGCTATTTAAGGCATACAGATGCACAGTTTCTGTTGTCATGTTTATTCCCCTCCCGCCCCCCCCACCAGGTGCTCTCAGGGTCAGAGTGGGGCAACATGTTGCTGTGGGAGGCAGGCCTCATCAAAGTGGAGCTCTGTCGTGCTGAGAAGAAGTCTTGCCACCATGGTCCCATTAACCAGATAATGCTGGATGAGGGTGAAGTTATCACTGTTGGGTCAGATGGATGTATTAGGGTAAGATTTCCTGACTTATAGACAGTAGTATCCATGTCTAAGGTTTGGAGATCATCCAAGTGGTTTTATAAAAATTTTATGCCTCACAAAAATCATTATATGAAGGGGATCAGTGGTCATTTACTCCCAGAACTGACTCATTTTAAGTAAAGTATCTCTGGTGATGAAGATTTCACAATGAACCTAATGAAACTTTCTGAGGGAGCTTCTTGTTGTTCTGATTCTTTTGTTGAAATAAGCACTTCAGAAAACGAAAGCCCACGTTAATATAATATATGCAGTGGACACACATGTCTTTCCAAATTATCCTGTATGAATTGATCATTTTCTAGGGATAAAATGGCCAAACATCTGTTAATTATTTCCATTGAGGTTATCAATTAGAAATACGCTCAGAGGTGAGCTGATAAGGATTGGTATGGATGGTGACCTCTCATTGGTCTTCACACTAGTGGACTCACCTGTGGATCCTGGCCTAAGCATCCACATCTTCCTGGTTGCTGTTCTAGTATATTTTTTTTCTTCCAGTCACCCTGCAACACACCTTCCTTGTATGTGTACCTTGATGTTTTGTTGGCAAACTGTAATAATGTGATTTGATGATGGTTTCATTGGTACAGTTCCTACTCAGATCTGTCATAAGAAAGCAGTAATATTCACTTAATATTCATCAAGAAGTATTATTAAAAGTAAGACTGCATTTTGTTAGTAATCTGGTCACTATGTTGATAGCTTTTGAATGTACTATGAACTCACTATGGCTCATATACACCTGTTGTTTTGTTAAGTGCTGTCAAGTCGGTTCTGATTCACAGAAACCTTGTTTAAGGTTTCCAAGAAGCTGCTGGTGGGTTTGAACCACCAATCTTATGGCCAGAAGTCCAGTGCTTATCCTACAGTGCCGCAGAAGGACCCTGAACAGTGCCCTGTTGTTACTATTAAGTGCTGTCGAGTTGGTTCTGACCGATAGAAACCCTATATAGGGTTTTTGAGGTGTAGCTGGTGAGCTTGAACCACCTTGCAGTTCAAATGGCTTTGCAGTCTAGCGCATTAATGCACAGAGCCACACCAAGACTCCAAACAGTGCCTTAGTGACTTCTAATTAGAGATGTCCACTGTAGGCTGTTTGAGCACAGAGGAAGAACAGTTCAGAGAGAGACTTTGGAGGTAGATAGCACGATTCAATATTTTGTCCATAGAATCCTTTAATATGGTAACTTGAGGCTTGAATTTTTTTCTTTAGTTCTTTCTACTTGAGAAATGCTGAATGTGTTCTTCCCTTTAGTTTTTTAACTCCAGGTCTTTGCACATTTTATTACAATATTTGACCTGTGTTCTGGAGGTGCCCTTTGAATAGTTCCATTTAGTTTGTTTACTTCATTGTTTCTTCCTGCCGTTTTAGTTTCTCTACACTCAAGGGTTTCTTCTGACATCCACTATGGTTGTCTTCCTAGTCTGTCTTAGTCTGGAAGCCCCCCTGAAACCTGTCCACCATGGGTGACCCTTCTGGTATTTAAAATACTGCTGGCTTCAAGCATCACAGCAACACAAAAGTCACTACAGTACGGCACACTAACTGATGAGTGGTGGTTTAGATTAGTAGTCAAGTGCAAACCATTTGTGCCACCCAGTGATTTTTATCTGAAACACACCATACTCACTACCATTGAGTAGGTTCCGATTCATAACAACCCTATACAGGGCTTTGAAATTGTAAATCTTTATGGGTGTAGACAGCCTCATCTTTCTCCTGTGGAGCAGCTGATGGGTTTAAACTGCAAATCTTGGGGTTATCAGTGGTATTAAGGAAGGAAAACATTTTCTAAAGAAGACATCTATATCTGTTGACTCTGCTTATAATGTAGTGTTTGAGTCTTAAAGCAAGCAGGTACATCTATTTCCTCTTTCTAGGTGCCTACTGGAGTCCTGGTGTGGTGCAGCAGGTAAATGTGCTGGACTGCAAAGTTGGTTTGAGCCTTAAGGTTGGCAGTTCAAGCTCACTAGCCTCTCCTGGGAAACGCTAAACAGGGTCGCTATGGGTTGGAACACACACACACACACACACACCACACCACACCACACCACACCACACACACACACCCATGACCTTGTTAAGCAACAGAACCGATTACTCCTTACAGCTACTTTATATTACGGAAAGATTGACAGAAACCTCGAAATCCAGTTTACTTTTAGTCAAATGACAGTCTAAGGCAGGGCTGTACTTTGTCACTAATCTTCATAACTAGAAAGGAAGTGATAATTTATTTTCCCCAGTTCAGAACAAAAGTCCAGGTGTAGAGTTTGGGCTGGTGTTCTAATTACAACTGCTCATTTTTAGTTTAGATGAAGCAAGAAGAAATTAATTTAGGAAAAATTGTGGGTTTGTTTCCTGGCTTAGACAATATTATCTTTTCTAATATACTCTTCATTAACTTTACTAAATTTTTTTCATTAAGTCATTTTTTATTAACTTTGCAAGATATGGGATTTTGAGACAATAGACACAGCTGATGCTATCGATGACGCTGGACTGATCGAACTTGAGCCTATGAATGAGCTTCAAGTAGGCAAGAATGTCAGACTCTTCTCTATGGTCAAAATGGATGAACCTGGACATAACTTTTGGTTGGCTCAGGTAAGCTGCCTTCTTCTTTCTTGGCCCGTCGAAGTTACCTGGGTATAAAATTAAAATAGGAGAATTCATTTTCAGTGATAGTCCTTTTTACGGTTAAGAACTGCTCTTGGTTTTTGGCATATAATTGACTTGTATTTTAAACAAAGAAAACCAAGTAGGAGCATCTTTATTAACTTAACCTGACAATAAACATATCAAGATTGTTTTGCTTATTGGGTAGCTGTGTTCCCAGATATATGTTGTTGTTGGTGGTGGTTAAGTGCCATCAACTTGGGTTCAACTCCTAGTGACCCTGTACAGGGTTTCCGAGGAGCAGATGGTAGCTGGTGGGTTTGAACTGTGGACCTTGCAGTTAGCAGTGCAGTGCTTACTCTATAGTGCCATACCAGGACTCCTTTCAAGATAACATTAGAAATTGTTTTTAGAATGTTTATTTGTAAATTTTGCTATTATTGTTTGTCCTTACTAAAATTATGAGTAGAACAAAATTCATTTAGTAAAAATGCCAGTTTTATAAAGTTCAAAATGATAAAGCAAAATATTATTAGGTATTTAATTTTTTAGGATACCTGTGGAGCCATATGGAAGCTTGACCTTAGTTTTTCAAATATTGTAAGTGAATTTTTTCTGTTTTCTCTGACTCTTCATAGTAAAAACCTTTGTTACTCTCTTCTTTAAAAACTGATTTCTCCATATTTGATTGTTGTTCCCATCAAAAATTTGCTCGACACACAATACTCCTTAGAATTCTTTCTTTAAACTTTGATTTTAGACTTTTTTTTTTTTTAAAAAAAGGACCTATCTCAGAGCAAAATGTACCAGAAAATGTCAATGACAATGCCTAACATTATTTAGTATGTGCCATTCTACTGCATAGCATTTTATAGTGTATGCCATTTTTATTTACTGTGCCTCATATAATTCTTGCAGCTAGCCTGTTTAATTGGCAGGGCAGCTGCCATCATCTCATTTTAGAGTTGAAGACATGGAAATGGATTCTGAGATAACTTTGTGTGAATTACACAGCCATCAAGTGTAAAAGCCAGGATTACCATGAGATTCTCCTAATTCCAGAATCCAGGGCTCTTCCTAAACTATTTTTATTCAAGTAAAACCACACATATGATACAGGGTTCTATTTGCATTTCTTTAAAACTTGACCTTGGTTCTATATCATCTTCTTGCTGAGATCTATAACAGGTTCTTTGTGTCTTTAATTACTAGACCCAGGATCCAGAATGCCTCTTCTCCTTCCACTCTGGACCTATTGAAGGCGTCGCTGTCTCCCCTCTGACTTACCTCATGGCCACTACTTCCTTGGACTGTAAGTAAGCCCTCTCTGACCTTTTTTGTTATGTTTTCTATGTATCATTACTATTTTAAATGTGTTTGATTAAAAGCCAGCATCTTGATGCAAGTGAGGTGAGCTGTTGCAGAGTGGAGGGGACAAATTGCAGCAGTAGCCATGTTAATTATGGGATGGTAAAATAAGGATGCAGTTAAAAGCTACTAAAGATAATGCTATTTGTTTGTGCTATTCCTTTTTTGCCTTTCTCCTTCCTTCCTTCTTGACTTCTGGCAAATCTGTTTGGACTGTGCCTGGTAAGATGAGTCCACCAATCATCACATGTGGTCTGCTTTGCTATTCATTTTCATAAATTAATTACCCTGATTGAGGGTGTACATGAAGATTTTTGACTAAAGAAAAGCTGTTAGATTATCAGTTGACTTAATTGCTTATGAAATCTCTTATCACAATGCTAAAATGTAAAGTATATAATATGTTACTTTTCAAACTGTTTCTGTAGGCTTGGTTCGAATCTATGATTTTGCCAGCAAAACTCCTTTGACTCAGATAAAATTCAAACAAGGAGGTACTGCCCTCACCTGGGTCCCCCAACTGGTAAGCTACTTGTTCTAATGAATTTTGACCAGTATTTGTTGGTTAATGTGGTATATCAGTTCTGTTTCTTAGGAACATATTTTCTGATTCTAAGTTTTAAAGACAGAAAAAAAAAAAAAAAAAAATCAAGCTAGTTTATTTCACCCAGAATGTGATAGAATCATAGTGATTGATGTGGACTTGGCCCTGGTTTTTATGAAAAGTCTATTTTTATGCTGCTGGCAGTTTATTAATAGTCTCATGCTGCAAAATAATTTTAGATAACATAATTTAGTGTTTCTATCAATCTGACTCTAATTAAACTGGTCCTATTAATAGTTTCAGAGTGCCTAAAATATTATAATGTGCCAGACTTTATTCTAGATTCTGGGAATACAACAAATGTAGCAAAAATAACAAAAGTGCTTTCCATCATTAACCAGGCACTCTAGTGGGAGGCAGGGGCAAAGACGGCAATAAACAAAATAACTAAGTAAAATCTGTGGGTTACGTAATGATGGGGAGCCTTTTTTATCACAAATCTGGCACCTGGGCTTGAGTGACATGGTGACTGTTGACAGGAGGGGGCCACCCTCCTGTTGTTTCTCCATGAGGCTTGGGCTTCATCACAGCTTAGTGACTTCAAGGTTGCCAAAATTCGTCCATGGCTCCAAGATCTACTGTTCCAACAAGTATCGTGAAAGTTACATGAACTTTTATGACCTAGCATCAGAAGTTACTTAGTGTCATTTTGACAATATTCTTGGACCAGTTACAAGCCCCACTCACATTCAAGGAAAGGGGGGCTTCAATCTTAGCTTTTCATGGGAGACATATCAAAGAATTTGCAGCCATTAAAAAAAAATGCCTTGGGGAGTTGTTTTATCTTTATGGTTTAGGAGTTAAATCAAAGAGAAAATATTCCAGACCCAAATAGATATGAAGATGGCTGAGATGGAATCAAGAACAGAAGAAGAAGACATACCAGGGAACACAGTCAGCACAGTGAGGAGACACTAGCCTCATTCTTTGTTTTTTAAAAAAGACTTATCTGAAGTTTTTTAAAAAAGACTTATCTGAAGTCTTTAAGATGCAATCCAGCGAACTAAAACATTTATTCAGATGGCTGTATGATATCCATAGAGAGTTTCCTTTTTCAGCCAGACATTTGAGTAATGAGTTATAATCATATGGAGCTTATGCTAAAATTGTAACACCTTCTCTATACTCCTCTGCCTTTCTGAAAGACTCCACATCATCTTTACAACTTGGTTCAGGTCAAACATCACTTCTTCTACACAGCTCTATTTGACTCTATGCTTAAGCAGAGAAAGGTAAACCTTCTTCTGTGATTGTTTTTGCCCCCGCAGGACTGTGTACATACCTCTTCTAATAGCACTTTTCACAGAGTATTAAGATTATGTTCTTTATTGTCTTTCTTTCCTGTTATATATTGTTTGTTCTTCACGGTGGCAGTTGTGCCTAATTCTTGTTTGAACCTTCAGTGGCTTAACAGGCAATGGTACATTTTAGACACTCAACAGATGTTGAATGAAGATTCTTTCTAATGGATGTTTCTAAATATATTTTTATATGTTTTGCAAATATATCCATGAATATAGTAGAGCATACAAGGGACAAAGTTAAGAAAAGTTCTTAGCCATAACCAGTTACTTTGAGGGAATGAGTTTCTGGGCCTATGAGCTCAAGACCATAGTCTTAAGGGACCTCAAAGTCAACAGACACACAGTCCACAAAGAAAATGTTCTGCATCCTAATTTTGTAAGTAGCGATTGGAATATTAAGAACTTGTGAGTGGGTGCCTAAAGTGTAACGATTGGTCTCTTCCCTTATGGAACAAAGAAAAGTGAAAAAAGTCAAAGATGCCTGGAAACAATTAGTCCAAAGGACTAGTGAACAATACTAACCCCCACCTTCATGACCCTAAGACCAGAAGAACTAGATGGAACCCAGCTACCACCATTGACTAATCTGAAAGGTATCGCAATAGAAGGTCCTATAGAATGGGAGAAAATTGTGGAATGAAACTCAAAATCATAAAAATGAAACAAAACAGATTAACTGGTCAAATAGAGAGTGGTGGAGTCCCCCAAGCTGTGGCCCATACTCACTCTTCAGGCCTGGACCTAAACCCATCCCTGTGGCTTAACTTTCAGTCAGGCCTATGGTGAGGGTGGTGTGCTGTGGAGTCAGTTCTGACTCATGGCAACACTGTACAGAGTTTCTGAGGCTGTAATTGTTTATAGGAGCAGAAAGCTTCATCTTTCTTCCATGGACCAACTGTTAGATTCAAACTTTTGGCCTTGCAGTTAACAGCCTAGCTCATAAATCCATTATGTTCGTTACCAAGGCGCCTTAGCCAGATCTATAAAGTAAACAGTAATACTAGAAAAGTACAACTCCTTAGAAAAATCAACCACATGAAATGCAAAGGGCAGCATTTGCCCAGAGATAAAACTCAGAAGGCAGGAGAATCCAGATAGGAAAGAAGGATGAATGGAAAAGGGAAACACTTGGAAGAAATGGGAAGAATGTTGTCATATTTTGGGGACTGCAATCAGTGTCACAAAACAAATTGTGTAGTGTTGAGTAACTATAGAATTGAAGGCTAATTTGCTTTAACTTTCACTCAAATCACAATTAAGTTTTTTTAAAAAAATTCTAGAGTGCAGTTTTCCTATTCCCAAGATTTCTATAACTGCCTGAATTCAAAGATGGCTACTTAGCTAAAGCAAATAGAAGAATTGAAGAGGTCCAAGAGCTGAACAGAGAATTTCAAAGATCAGCTCGAGAAGATAAAACCAGGTACTATAATAAAAT